CTATGTCGGTCACTCTGGTTCTACTGCGGATATCCTCTTTTCTAAATTTTTTCAATTTATGGGGCAATGTAAACGCTTTTATAACAAAATCCCAGAACATATTCAAAGTTTGTCAATAAACAAGTTTAAAAGTTTTATTAAAGAAAAACTGTACAAAAAGGATTATTATAATATCAAGGAATACATGAATGAGAATAACCCCTGGGAATAGGGTGATCGACACCATGCTGGTTCTATGAAAAATCATTTAAAAATTGTATAAACAAAATAATTGTTAAGTGAAATTATGTTTATGTTTTGAAAAAAGTCCCAGGACTGGAGGTATTTTCCGAACCAGTGTTAAAATAAAAATAACTTTCAATAAGTATTACGAGTATGTAGTAATCCATATTGAATAAAAAATTATTCTATTCTATTTTATTCTAAGTTTATCACGCAGAGAAACTCCGAGCATAGCATTTTCCATAGCTCTCTGACCTTGAGCTTCCTCATACGGCCAGCAGTGAAGGGCCACGTCTCAAATCCGTAAGTTATCACTGGCAACACGCACTGGTTGTATAATTTCGTTTTAAGCTTTTGAGGTATGTCTGACGAGAAGATGTGTCGTAGTTTCCCGAACGCTACCCAGCCGAGTTGAATCCGGCGATTGACCTCACGGTCGAAGTTGGACTTACCTAGTCGGACTATTCGTCCCAGGTAAACATACTCATAAACAACTTCGAGCTTAGTGCTCCCAACAACTACCGGCATAGGTATGACATGGACATTGAACATGATCTTTGTTTTGTCCATGTTCATTTTAAGACCTATCCGTTGGGAGACACTATTGAGGTCATTGAGCATGGTGCTTAGATCTTCCAGCGATTCTGCCATAAGGACTATATCGTTGGCAAATCGAAGGTGAGTAATGTACTCGCCATTAATGTTAATACCGTATCCTTTCCAGTCCAGAATCTTGAAAAAGTCTTCCAATGCAGAGGTGAAGAGTTTCCGCGATATGACGTCACCCTGTCTTACACCTCTCTGCAATTGGATAGGTTTCGTACTCTGGTTCTGTACTCGGATAGCCATCGTAGCCCTACTGTACAAGCACTTCAGCACTTCGATATACCGATAGTCAACTTGGCACCGCTGAAGAGACTGCAGCACCGCCCAAATTTCGACGGAATCAAAGGCTTTCTCATAGTCCACATACGTCAGGCATAGTGGCAAATTGTACTCCTCGGACTTCTGTACAACTTGCCGAAGGGTATGTATGTGGTCTATGGTGTTAAAGCCCTTTCGGGAACCAGCTTGTTCGGGAGGCTGAAAGTCGTCAAGTCTGCGCGCGAGACGATCAGTAATGACTCTCGTAAACAGCACGTAGACGCGGCTCAGAAGGGAAATCGGTCTGTAGTTCTTCAAGAGAGCGTTGTGACCTTTCTTGAAGAACAAGACCACCGCACTTCTGCTCCACGCCTCCGGTGTAATTCCACCATGGAGGACGGAATTAAAGACCTTCCGAAGGACTTCAAGTACCGGTTTCCATCCGCTTTCAGAAGCTCCGCTGTAGTTCCATCCTCGCCTGGGGCCTTGCCGTTTTAAAGATGCTGGAGAGCCATTCTAATCTCTGATTCTGATTCCAATCTAAAGACTGACGTCCAGGATATCTTCGGAATAGTGTTGGATTAGACTCGCTCTTGGATCGTTACTCACACTTGCGTGTGGCTCCAACGATGACGTGTACAGCTGCCCATAGAACCTCTCAATCTCACACAAAATCTCAGGTGCCCCGGAAACGATGCTGCCACACAGCCCTTATGCTGCCACACAGCACACTGTTCATAAGGTGCTGCCACTCAGAACTTTATGAACAGTGGTAGAGCCACGCGGCAGCTGTTGCTGTCGCACGGATGGGCCGGCTCGAACCGGGGTGGTACCACGACCTCACAGAAAACCAGCGTGAAGTAGAGGTTTACCTCTGCGTTTCGCTTGGTGAGTGCAGGTGGCCGGAGGCCCTTTTTACTGGAAATGAGGCATTCCATCTTAGTCCTCACAGGTGACAACGCATCTACATTTTGATTTGTAATAGAGAATAGATGTAGATGTCTATGGGCCGCAGCAACCACTTACCATCAGGTGGAATGTGTGCTCGTTTGTCACCCTTATCCTATAAAAAAAAAACTCGGTCCTCAGCTTTGACAGTTGGCTCTTTCTGGCAGACAGATCTCTGGCAAAGACTTTGGAGCCTTGGTTCCGCTCGATCGCTTCTTCAATACAAGCTGTATTGAAGTGGCGTAAGTCCCGCCGCATGCATTTGGCGATCTGTCTGTTCAGTTGCGTGTATGCTGTCAGATCTGTTGAAGAATGTAGATTCATCTCCTGTCTAACAGCCATGAGAATAAGAGTGTAATCGGAGAGGTTTTGTGTTCTTCTGCGGCGGGTCTTGCAGAACTTAGCTCCGACCGCATGGACAGTTTCCACGAGCTTGTCATTCATATCGTCTCTCTATTACCAAGTTTAAATGTTTTGTTAAGTTGAAACTGTATAAAAAGGGTTATTATAGTATTAATTAATTCATGGTTGATAATAACCCCTAGGAATGAGGTGGTCGCTTCCAAAATAAATTTTATACTTATATAGTTTGTACAAATATTAATGTAAAATTTGCTTTTCAAAAAGCTTTTAGAAGAAATAGCTTTCTTGCTAGTTCTTCCCAGGACAGAGATTTTTTTTTCAAACCAGTGGTAAAATAAAAAATTACTTTCAATAAGAATTACATATGTGATCTATATTGAATAAAAAATTATTCTTTTGTTTTTATTTTTCTTATCCCCGCGAGGCGGGTATGCGTAGGCATTTCCCAATGTAAAAATAAGGTAGGTTGCTTCACAGCGTCTGAGACCGAGGTAAACTTGAACTCGCTAGCCGACGTGTCCTAGGCATATCATCTAAGTGTCTGTGGTAAGCGGGTTTGTTGTAGTAATACGACTTGCCCGTGGACATCGTACACCCCTACCGTTTGTGGGCAGTATCTTTATCTTAGCGCATAGCGTTATGATACGTCGGCGATGTTTCGTGCTGCAGCGTTGCGTCTCTGCGATAGTTATTTGGCGGGTCGCTTTTTTCAATGGTGCTCCCTGAATATTGGTTTGACTTACACAGAAGTAGCATTGTCCAAGTCGCGTCCCGTCATGATGGAGCTGCAGACTGTCTGACCTCCATGATATTTTATATAACAACATAAATTATCTCTGACCCTTGAATGACTGAAAGCAACTTGTAGGTGGGTGAGACAAAAATGATCGAAACATTAAATGAACACTAAAAATACTAAGTTATAAAACAAACACAACGTAGATAAAGGTCCTACGTAATACGATCACGCCATAAAGAACAATGGCAGACTTTCATACATAAAATTAGTTGAGAAGAAATGGTAGCGTCTATATACCAAAAATATCTTAAAATGTTAAGCGTCAGTCCCTTAATAACTCTGTCAAAGAATTTTGTACTGAGAAGGCCTCAAAAAAAGATATTTACATTTGAACTTTTTAGGTTATGTCCTATGTCACTTGGAAAAAGTCATGTTTCCTGTGGTTGTTTGATGTTAGCTTAATACATAATACATAATTAAGAGTTTTTAGATTATTATATCTCTATTATATATTTGCATACTATAAATGTATATTTCTGGCATGTCGCCAGGGCTTTTGTATCATACTGACATTCTTAGAAGGGCTAGAACCCAGAGCCGTAAAGCCAGTAAAAAAAACAGTGTCTTTTTTTAGCTAGTGTTGGCATAACATTAAATGGAATTGTTTCATAGTACTATGATTGAGATAATGTATTATTGTAGGAAATTCTTTGTTAGAGACTTATTCTCAGCCATATCACTTTTATATTTATTGTTACTGATAGTACAGTTATTACTAATAATAACTTAATATAAAAATATTTTGTGTGTTTTGTTGGTAGTCTCACAAAGTGTATACGAAAATAGTATGAATATGGCATATAAATGGCAACATTTGAATAGAGTAAAATGATTTAAGTCATTTGATATTCCCAAAAATATTTGTTTTTTTCTGTGGCTTTAATTAGAATACATTTTTATTTGAAAAATCATAGAATAATAATAAAACTCATTTTATATATAACTTATTTCTACTATTTTTCTGCCATTGCTCTTTATGAAACGGCCTATAACTAAACCTTTACAAAGATTCTTGATAATGACCAATATATGGTTGTTATATTGTTTACGTAAATTTTATATTTTTGAAGACGACCTCTTTTAATATATGACGGGGGGGGGGGGAGCGTTACAGAATTCTATATGTATAGAATACAACAGAATGAAAGATAAGATATGAAGAGATGGAAAGTGAATAGAAGAAAAGGATTTTCATAATTACGAAACTAAATTTATTGCAGTTCTGTTCTGTTACGGTCTACTAAAGTCCACCCTGCTGAATATAGACCTCCACATAGATTGCCTTATAGGGGGAATATTTGCCATAGTTGCGAAGTGGGTTGGCGACCGTAGTTTTTTGTTTTTATTCGTTACTAGGAAGACGCTGCTACCCATCTCCTGATATGTATCCGTCTGTCGCTTCTTATGATACCCAAGGGATGATATGGGGTAGTGGATATTCTAACACCGCCGCTATACGATAAAAAAGTTATTGTTCTCGTTGCTAATTTCAAGGCATGTGTTATCGTGTGTTTAGCGATATTTAATCAAAGTATAAACTTTACATAAAATGCTATTTAACTGTAATGAATTGATTAGGGTAATATGAAAATATTTTATGTTATGCTTACAAACCATTTCGGGATGTTTTATTCAAAGATAAAAATATTTTCAAATACTTGAATATTATGCTAATTAAAGTGTTACATTATTTATGATAAAAGTACCATTTGCGATAAAGTTTGATTATATTCAAATATGTAAACATTTTCTTTGTGTGTATAAATATTGAAAATTTTACATTGAAAAATCAGACGACCGCAAGATGGCGTGGGGTAAAGTCGTTTGGTTATCAGGTAATTGTAGTTATTGTCATTTTAATTTTATTTCAATATGACTTATTTCAATGTTTATAAAGGTATTTATTTTTGGAGCTTAAAACTCTAACAAAAATACCACTACTATCAAATTCTGACGTGTATCTCAATCCTATTGCTAGAGGGTTATGGAGCAGAAGAGTGTCCGTCGCGCTGTTCCAGTGTGGATCAGCGGACTTCCCTAATCCCGGACATTTTATTTTCTTAGACAGTTCATTTAAAAGTTTTCAAATTTTAAATTTTGATCAAAAAACTCCGTTGGCACTTGGCCAGATTAGACCAAGGTCAGACCTTGGGATCTTACCGTCTGTTCCTATGAGTCGCCCCGTATACTTAACAGCCTATAAATACGTGTTTAAATTTATATTTTGATAATTTGCAGCACTCCTTTTGGGCACGACTTTAAGTCAACCGATACCTGACCCAGATCCTCAAATTCCTTGCGAGGATTATTCTCCATGTGAACCCTGTGATCCAGTACCTCCGTGTGATCCTTGTGACCCATGCTCAACTCCGTATTCTGATGATAATGACGTCATAAAGATTGGACCTTGCAATCCTTCTGAGCCATCTGTAAAGTATTTGTATGGTCAGGCACCCCAGGGTAAGGATAAAAGTTTTTTTTTTAAATACAAAGTCAATAATTTAAACACAACCAAAATTCAGTCATAATTATTTTTTCGTTTTAAAACATTATGACTAATCTATCCTAGAGTCATGTAAACAAAAATCAATAATTACAGGTTCAGTGATCTTCAGACCTGGTCACATTCGTTTTCGGGCACCTGCCCCAATAATTGTTCGACCAGGAACTATTCGCCTGCCCACGCCGCCTTCAATCTGGGTAAAACCAGCACCAGTTCAACCAGCTGCCCCGGCTCCAATATCCGTGAAACCAGAACCAGTTCACCCGCCTACCCCAGCACCAATTGAAGTCAGGCCTAAGCCTGTGTACCCACCACGTCCTGCTCCGATTGTTGTTAAACCTGCGCCGGTTCAACCACCAAAGCCTGCTCCTATTAAAGTATGATTTTTTTATACTTCTTGTTTAATATATTTTTTAACTTTTATAATTTTTTACAATGATACAAAACGTTTTATGAACAATTTTCAGGTACAACCACCTCCAATACAACCACCAGCACCGGGATTGCTAGTTGTGAAACCTCCCAGGATTACAGTACCTAGTCCACCCATCATCTGCTTCCAACCAAACCCTCCGTCTCGCTTTAGTACTTCAGGCTGCGCGGTCGTTTCATTGTACCAGTCTCAACCACCGTGTGCAACTGAACCTTCTCAACTGACAACTTACAACCCACCATGTCCATCTCCATGTTTTCCGTCCTATGCTTAGGAAGTTAACAAGTCATCTAAACGATTAAAATTTTATTTAATATAATATATAATATATATGTATATAATCTACTTTATAAGCTACATTTACAATGCATGTGAGCGATTGAAATAAAGTGCGGGTATTCTCAAAAAATCACGGAGTTTTGTTAAACTATTCGCCCCAATATTGATTTGGAAAATGTTGTATCATTTTTTCTGATGTTGTAAAAAATAAACACAATCACGAAGCCACATCTCACGCAACATATTAGATTGACAGGCCTGTGAAGCATCTAGCAGTCCCTAGAAATATTACTGCATTTAGTTATATTTGTAGAGATTTTTTTCCACGCTTTTACGTGGTAGAGCCAAGGTGCAGCTATATTAGTGATATAGTTGTAGCATGAATGGACGGGCTCGACGGGAAAGAACGCCGCTCTCACAAAATATCAGCGTAAAATAGCAGCTTAATGCTGCTGTGTTTAGCATAGTGAATGTAGAGAAACCCTCCTAGAAATAAGAGCTGCCTGCCTATTGTGGCTATTACTTTCAATATTTATTTATACTGCAAACTAAAACTAGTACAATTTATGATTTTATATTGTAAAGTCACGCTGAAACTGTGTAATAAGTTCAGTACGAATGAATCGGCTCAGCCAAGAAAGTGTCTGGCCAAATACAATAGTAATTTACCGCTACTCTATTTTTCATAGGATAAATATAGTATAATACATTTTATTTAGCCCAAAGAAAGACGAAAACAAATAATAAAATTAATTTTGTGATAATTTTGTACAAGCGACTTCAATATAAATAAAATAAGAACATCATCAATGAAGTCCAAGTCAATTCAATACGAACAATTAACGATAACTCAAAAATTGTTGGTCATATCTTGATCAAATATGGGATCTTGATCAGATATGGACCACGTAAGAAGCACTAGCTTTCAAATAAAAAGGAAATCATCAAAATCGGTTCACCTAGAAAAAAGTTATGAGGTAACACATTAAAAAATACATTCGAATTGAGTACCTCATCTTTTTTAATTCGGTTCAAATAAAGCTTTTATAGGATAATTTCTTATATTTACGTGAACACTACACGTTGATTAAAACATTTTTTTACGGATTTAAAACGGATTAAAAACTGAAGGTACCCGGGCTAACTGTGACATCGGGACGTCAAACATCTCCCCCCTCCCCCCCTGTGACCATGAGTTGCTGTAAAGCACCCGAAACGTCGGGAATTAAAATAGTAAATTAAACGCGATAAAATCTGTAAAAAAATCGTTTTATTCGAGGCTTTTATAGGGTTAAGCTACGCATTGATTCAGCAAAAAATCTCACTAAGCGTTAGTTTTCAGACACAAAAATCTATGAATTTATTACACCGCATTCCATCTTAGTCCTCTGGAGTGACAACGCATCTCCATTTTGGTTCTTAATGCGCTAGGAGTAGGTGTCTGTGAACTATTTTGAGCAACGATCCTTCCTAACCTCGTGTATCAATGAATAAATTCGCTAGCTGAAACGCATGAACACATTAAGCATTTATACATGAATATCTTTGAAGGAATTTATGTTGTTTTCATAAGATTCGTGTGGAAAAACAAACTGACATTCTAATATCTGCAACAACTTCAAACAATGACGACTCCGTGGCGCAATGGCTTAGCAATGAGTTGCTACGCTGGGGACCGCAGGTTCGAATCCCGCACGATACAAATATTTGTATGGTCTACAAATAATTGTTCCGGGTCTGGATGTTTATGCTTGTGCAATTTGTGTTTGCAAACTGCCTCCACGATGCAGGAGAAAATCCTAGTGTTGAGGTAACGTTTAAAAAAAATGAAGGCTACAGATTTCTTACCTGAAGAATAAGCTGAAATTTGTCAAAGATACTTCAATGGAAATTAATTTAAAATTAGCATATATATGAGATAATTTTTAAATTAATTTCCATTGGAGGGATAGGAACCTTATGTATTTATCAGTGTTAATACGCTCCGATATTCGTAATCGCTAATACTATAGTATTAGAGATTTAAGTCAGTTTAAAAATTATTTGAATTCTTTTCATTGGAACCGCGCTAAAAGTATCTTAAAATATTTGAAGAAAACAAAGTCTTTTGGTTTAATGTTCAAGGAAGATGATAGTCACTTAGAAGATAGAAGTACGTAGGTAGATTTTGTACATACAGACTGGACTTCTAATATGGTATAAAGGAAATCCTGCACAGGATTTTGGTTTCGGTTATCAAGTAGCGTTATATCTCATGAATTTAAAAAAAAAACAACAAATTTTAGCTTTATCAAGTACCAAAGTCGAGTATATAGCGATAGCAGAGGTAATATACTTAATAGAGGTAATATAAATAAACCTAGCAAGCTAACAGCATAGCAAAGTGGCGAAGCAATCAGCTTTGTAGCGGTTTCTAACGGTTGCCGTTGAGCAATCAGTCAAAATAGGAGGTTCAGATGCCTGGGTGATCAGTAATCGATTGCTGAAAACAGAATTTGAAAATTCGAAACCGTTCTCGAGATAATCGTGGGACAGACGGACAGACGGACAGACATCGTGAAATCAATAAGTGACTCCGCAAACATCGCCACTTAATAAGTGACTTCGCAAGCTTCGCCACTTAATAATTATACAACAACTCCGTATAACAATGTATCGGGATTACGTTTCCTGGACGCGGCTAAACGTAAAACGTGTTTCAAAGTTGCGACCAGTCTGACCCACGTAATCGGCATGGCGTACATCACAAAAAATTTTTAATCATTCGAATTTTGACTAATATCCAACTTATATTTATTATAACAGATATTCCTAAGAGATCTGTTTGTTTTGAACGCTACACGGCATGCATCGTTATAGATTATGTGATTTTCTTACTGAGACTAAGACAAGGGGACATTCAAAACTTTGAGTATTTTAATAGCTTTGTCAATTACTTATAACCATGATACGCAGGAGCTACTACCAAACATATTGTATCGCGGTCATCTGACAGATTTGATATATTACTGTGAAATATTCACGACTGAAAAAATGACCTGTACCGTTTTCACAAACATCAAGTGGAAGTAACAGTCAATATACGTTCTACGTAGGCCTATTAGCTAATAGACATATGTCATTCATTTATTTCTAGTGACCCGATAATTCAAGTACTGATTTGTCTTACGAACCGGATCATTTTGGTCGATCATACAAATAGATCATTTTGAGTTACTGCACTCTGTGATCTGTGAGATGGTAGTAGGTCTTGTCAATCGTTTGATCCGGAACGTTCAAAAAATGTAATTGCAATCATCAATACTATGACGCGCTCCGGGTCAAATGAATGAATCATTAACGATCGACACATGTCTAATCGCTAACTTTGTCGACATTTAAATGAAGGTAACTATGTAGTTCATTACGTCGTATGTTTTACAGTAAAGCTAAACAGGGTTATTTTGCGTTAACCAGCCAATTTCAGAGAACATTCAGAATAACTAATATAGGAAAATCTAAAACATTCTGTGTTTTTTATCTTTTAAATTTAACACACACAAATCATGCACATATTCGTAAGGGTGGATCGGCAGGCAAAAACTTTGTTGTCTATAAATCACATTAATTTTTGGATAATTTCAAATAAAAGTAGAAGCATTATTTACTCGTATTTTCAAAAACTGCAATAACTGTATATCATTATTTATATAATTTGAACCTAAGTTTAAAATTTGGCTACTCTTTGAGAAAGAACCCTGTATAGAATATACAATGTACTACTAAAGTGCCAATCAATTTTTTTTCAACGGTGACGAAGTTGCGGGTATCAGACCCGCAACTTCGTCAGCGTTGCTTGATATATTAACAAAGAAAACACACATCACTGAACTCGTAGTGCTTATAAAAATCGGTGTTTTTTATAAGGGCCAAGTGTCTAAGAAATAAAATTAAGAAAACCTAATTGAAATCTATCTAGTAGTTTTTCCGTGACGCGCACAACCACAAACCTATATAATTTTATTTATGAAGATAAATTTAGTGAAGAGACCTACTAATGGACACTGTTCAAGTGCGTGTTGGCAGGCTCCACATGTCTTCAATATATTTTTATTGCTCAAATATGCAAGTTAATATCGATATTTTCCAACAACGCCGCGCAGTGTACGTGGAAAATTGGAAATTAAAACTGCAACAAACAATTTCATTAGTGCTGGCGAAAATCGAACCCGGATTGCAACATATTATAACATTTACAGCAAGTGCCTTAACCCATGAGCTACCACGGCTCTCCTGACACACCTCAAGCTTTATTATAAAAATCACCAACCAACAGAAAAACAGGCGCAATCAGTTCTATATGTGATTTATCTTTAGGAACTTTTAATGATCATATTGATCTTGAAGAATTCATGAATATTTATTTATTTATTCATTTAATGGAGGCTACTCACAAGCACGAATTGCTAATTACAAGCTTCTACATATTAATTTCATCACATAAAAATACTCCAGAGATTGCTTAAATTACTCACAAAAACAATAACAAAAAAGACGCAAAAACATTAACAATAAAACGCATAGTTTAACCTGTCGTGAGACCGAGGCGCTTTTTTTATAGGACAGGGGGCAGACGAGCATGCGGCTAACCTGATGGTAAGTGACTACCGCCGCCGATTAACAATTGGCACACCAGGGGAATGACATATGCGTTGCCGGCCTTTTAAAAAGGAGTAGGCTCTTTTCTTAATGGTCCCTAAGTCGTATCGATCCGGAAAAATCGCTGGCGGTAATCGATTCCACAAGGAAGTTGTGCTAGGAACAAAACATCTTCTAAATCGCACAGTAGTGGACCGCCAATCATCCAGATGGTATAATTGGTATCACGAGTTTTGTCGTGATAGGCGATGGTGAAATTGAGCGGCTGAAATTAGTTCGAACAATTCCTCAGAGCGCTCCCCGTGGTAAGTACGCAAAGAGATGCAACATCTCTTCCAAGCGCCAGTGAATAGAGCT